GAGGAGGAGGAGGAGGAGGGAGGAGGAAAGAGGGAGGAGGGGGGGGGGGCGAGCCCTCTGTCTCTCCAGCCTCCTCCCCCGCTTGCCTACCCTCGTCCTGCTGCTGCTGGTCCTCCCTCGCCCCCGCCCCCCCCCCTCCGCTGCAATCTCCTGCTTCTTGCCGTCCTCGAGCGCCTCCCTGTCGTCCTCGATCTCGTGAGCGGTCGGGCAGAAAAGGGGGGGGGGGGGGGGGAAGGGGGGGGGCGAAGGGAAGGGGGGCGTGGGGGCGCAGAAGGGGGGGAGAGCGGAGAGGCAGGGCGACATGGAGGAAGCTGGGAGGGGGATGGGGAGGACTGTCGAAAAGCGAAAAGCGACGGGGGGAGGATGGCGGAGAGGAGGCAGGGGAAGGGGGAAGAGGGGAGGGTGGGGGTGCGGAGTGTGAGGAGGGGCGATCGGGGGTGGGGGGATGGAGACAAGGGAGGAGGTCGAAGAAGGGAGGGGGAAAAGTGGGATCTAGCAGGAGGGGGGCAAATTTGACATGTTCGCCCCATGTCTGTCACCCGACCCATCCCACACATCGTTTCCCGTTGCATTGAATTGTGTGGTATCCGCCGCTTGCGCTGTCCTAGAGGCCTCTGATCGCCGAAATGACCCCATCGCGTGATGCGCAGAGAGGAGAATGGGAGGCGTCGTACATTAGATGAGGAGGAGGTGGCGGATGAGCAGAGAGAAAGAGGAGGAAGAGGAGGAAGAGGAGGAGGAGGAGGAAAAAACAGCATCAGCAGCAGCAGGAGGAGTGGCGCCCCCACCGTGGGCAGCATCGGACGAGGGAGAGCGGCACCCGCAGCGTGCAGATGGTGGCACGGGGGAGCGGATCGGCGGCGAACCCGGGGGTCGCACGCTGGCATGCGGCATCCGTGGATTTGGCGCGTGGGCGCCAGACCCACGGCTCGGCGAGGGCTTCCCCATGGGCATGGCGCGTGTGCCGCCCGCAGCGCGGCGCTTCTGTGCCGGATCGGGACCCGTCGCTGACCCACGCGCTTCAATCGATGCTCGCGTTTCCTCGACTAGCCTCGCCCCTGATCCCCCCTCTCCACCTCCGCCTCCGCCGCCTCCTCCTCCTGAGCCTGTCCCCCCCTGACGTTGCCCCTAATCCCCCCTTTCCTCCTCCTCCTCCTCTCGGCGGCGAGCCTGGGGAGAAGTGAGAAGGGGCGGGCCTTCTCAGAAGGCTCGGAACTTCTCGGGCCGTCTGAAAAGTGTTCTAGGCTCTCCCCGAAGTCAGAGGGAACCTCTCAGATGGCTGGAGGGCTTCTGAGAAGGCCTCCGCCTTCTCGCTTCTCCCCACGCTCGCCGCCGAGAGAGTCACCTGCTTGCCTCCTTCTCTTCATCGTCCGCCTCCTTCGCCGAGGCCCCCCCCTCTCCCCTCCCCCCCGAGAACCCCGTTCGCCAGGGTCACCGGAGCCCCCTGGGAACCATCCGGGACCATCCCGATCCCAGCGTCTTGGCATCGCTCCGACATGTGCACTGTTTCCTCGGCGAGTGCCATCGAGGAGCATCTCTGAAATCCTCTGCGCAAGAGGTACAAAAAGAAGCGCGCGACGGCACCCAAAAACACACGTGCGGAGTGGACGCCCGAGCGATGGCGAGCCGCCCCCCCTCCCTCCAGACCCCATCCGTCCAGATGCGGCACGCGCGCGGCGGAACTCCAGCAGGGTGCGCCGCACGTCTCAGCGAGCGAAGAACGGTATAAAATAAACTTTCCAGCCGCCCAGGGGCAGGTGTCCCCGACGGCGAAAAAGTTTATTTTATAACGTTCTTCGCCCGTTAAACGTCAGGAACCCCAAAAAAGCGCCCCTGCCCTGATCTGCGAGGCGCCGTGCGCCGAGCCTCCCGTGGGCTGCCAGGACAGACCCTGCGCGAGCCGCGCGCGCCGCGCGGCCCACCGGCGACTCTCTCTCTGGCCTTTGGGAGCTCGCAGGAGGTTTGCAGACAAACAGACCACGCACTTGTAACCGAGGGCAGGCGCGTGTTCCCTGACCTTCCAGAGAGCAATTTTTTCAGCACTGGAGGCCTAGAAACCTAAAAAGCTGAGCGAAGCAGCCTAAAACCAAGACGTAGAATAGCTTTGGGACAGGTTTTTGAGTCGCGTGCTATTTTTTAGCCCTCTTGGAAGGTCAGGGTTTTCATCTCCCTCAAGTACGGGCACGATGGCTGGAGTCTCCGGGGAGGCTTGCCGGTCCGCAGCCCCGTCGCGCTGGCCAGGGCGCGCGTTGCGGGCGGAGTGCGCACGCGTCCAGCCGCGCCCCGCGGCCCGCGGAGCAAGCCGCCATCACTTCACAACGGCATCGCAAGAGGCCCCCAGAGTCTCCCTACCTCCCTCCGCCATCTCCCCCTTCTTTCCCCATTTCCCTCCCTCCCTCCCTCCCCCCTCCCTTCCCCCCCCCCTCCCCCAGAGCCCCCCTCCCTCCCTCCCCTTCGCCCCTCCCCCCTCCCAGCAGGGGCGGCGGGCGGGGCAGGGAAGGCGGCGGCTTGCTCTACACCGCGGTCGCCAATTCCCGGCTTCTGTTCGCCGCGGCGGTCTCCCAGGTGTTGCTCGGGAGGCGGCAGACTTACTTCCTCTCTTGTCGTGTTCCTCCTGCCCATCGTCACCATCGCTCGTTCGGAGGAGGAAAAAAGGAGAATCGTGAATTGTCGGAGCTCCGCGCGATTTTCTTGGATCGTCGTTGGGCGGCACCCCTGGCGGCACCTCCAGCGCCGCCCCTGGCGCTCCGCGCGCCAGGGGGGGTGGGGGCTTTCAGCACAGATCCAAGAAGTCCGAAAGTGTGTGTGTGTGTTGATCCAGCTTGTAATGCCCCTCCGCCTCGACATGGCGGCTGGTGCGGGCTTTCAAGCTTGAGCGTATTCTGGGGCTCGCTCCGAGAACCCCTATAGGCCCGCAGAGACCAGCGGCTTGAAGTCCACGCGAGGGATGGGCGGGCGACAGATGTTGGGAGCCTCTGAGAACTTTCTCATGATAACTGATTCCTCTTCCACCTCCATTATTTCCTTCCTTACGTCTTCTCCATATCTCTGCTGTGTCCTCCCCTCTCTTCCCCTCCCTCGTCTCATCTCTTTCACACACACACACACTATCTCTATCTCTCTCTTGCTCTCTCTTGCTCTCTCTCTCTCTCTCTCTCTCTCTCTCTCTCTGTTACTATATATATATATATATATTTGTGTCTCGTTCGCTCTCTCTCTCTCTCTCTCTGTGTATTTCTCTCTCTCTCTCTCTCTCTCGCTCTCTCTCTCTCTCTTTATTTCGCTCTCTCGCTCTCTCTGTATATATATGTGTGTGGATGCTTCATATTATCCTCCTCATCCAGACGGTCGACCTTATGTTTGGCATGCCGTTCCTGCCCAACCTCCCCCTCGTCCTCCTAACCCTCCTCATCATCTTCCTCCGCAGTATCATCCTTGTCACAATCCCCCTTATTGTTATTGAGAGCCTCCTCAACATCCGTCTCGTATTTCTCCTCACTCTCACCCCCATCATCTTGCCCTCATCAGCATCAGCAGCATCAGCATCGCCATCGTCATCAGCATCTGCATCATAATCAGCATCATCTTCGTCATCATCAGCATCGCCATCGCCATCGTCATCATCACCATCATCATCATGAGCAGCGGCAGCATCAGCATCATTGTCATCGGCATCGTCATCTTCATCGTCATCGTCATCGTCGTGAGCAGAAGCATCATCAGCATCATAATCAACATCAACCAAAACAACATCATCAGCATCATCATCAGCAGCAGTATCATTATCATCATTGTTATCGTCATTATCATACTCCTCCCGCTTCTCCTCCTCCTCGTGCCCATTGGGAGGCGGCAGACGCCGTGGCAGTGGACGGTGCTGTCGGGGATCTGCCTCGCCACCGTGGCGTACGCCTCCCTCGGAGCAAGCGGCAGGCCCTAGTCTTCGTCCTCCGCCTCGTTTTCGTCCTCATCCTCCCATTGCCCCTCCATCTCCACTGTCCAGAAGATCCGGGTGTCGAATTCGCCCAACTTCGGGCCCCAGGGCAACCACAGACCGATCTGGCTCAAAACATGCCGGGAAAAAGATCAGGTTGAGGGTTCCAGTCACGATTTCCTCACAACTGGTCACCCGTCAAATCTCTTGGATTGAAGGCTGGGGAGGACGAGGAGGAGGAGAAGGAAGAGGAGGAGGAGGAGGAGAAGGAGAGGAGGAGGAGAAGGAAGAGGAGGAGAGGAGGAGGAGAAGGAAGAGGAGGAGGAGGAGAAGGAGAGGACGCAGGCACAGGTTGCCGGGGCTGGATTGATTCTTCCTTTCTAAGCCTCGTATCCCCGCAGGACCCCTGGACTTTTGCTCCTTGTGTTGCTTCTTCGATATCTGGTGCCACTTCTAGGTGTCCTCCCTACACCCACAGATGTTCTGGTGCCACTTCTGCTGCACATTACTACCACGACTAGTACTAGTAGTAGTACTACTACTACTACTACTACTACTACTACTACTACTACTACTACTACTACTACTACTACTACTACTACACTACTACTACTACTACTACTACTACTACTACTACTACTACTACTACTACTACTACTACTACTACTACTACTACTACTACTACTACTACTACTTCTACTACTACTACTACTACTACTACTACTACTACTACTACTACTACTACTACTACTACTACTACTACTACTACTACTACTACTACTACTACTCTACTACTACTCTACTACTACTACTACTATACTACTACTACGATTCCTACTACTACTACTACTACTACTACTACTACTACTACGTAAACTAATACAATGCCTGCGACTAACTACTACTACACCACCACTACTTCTAAACTACTACTGACTACTACTAACTACTACTACTAGCTCTTTACTATTCCTACTACTACTACTAACTACTACTATAACTACTACTACTACTGCTACTACTGCTACTGGCTACTACTACTACTACTATTACTACACTATTACTACTACTTCTACTACTACTATTCTACCTACGACTACTACTACTACTACTTACTCATGACTAGTACTACTACTACCTACTACTACGTACTACTGCTGCTACTACTGCTGCTACTACTACTACCACTACTATACTACTACTGGTGTACTACTACTACTAGGCGATACTACGACACACTACTCCTACCAGCGTGCTACGGACGACTGCCACTGTGTCCTACGTACTAGCTATTACTACTACGAACGAACGATTACGATTTCTACGAATAGTATTACACTACTACTATTACTACTACTATACTACTACTACTACTACTACTACTACTACTACTACTACTACTACTACTACTACTACTACTACTACTACTACTACTACTAGTACTACTACTACGACGACGACTACTACGACTGGTACTATTACTATTACTACTACGACTACTACTACTACGACTACGACTACTACTACTACTACTACTACTACTATTACTACTACTACTACTACGACTACGACTACGACTAAGACGACGACTATGCTTACTACTACTACAACTACTACTAGTACTCTTACTACGACTACTACGACTACTACTACTACTACTACTACTACTACTACGACTACTACTACTATTACTACTACTACTACTACTACGACTACTACTACGACTACTACTACGAGTATTACGGTTGCTACTACGACTATTACGAATACGATCACTACTACGATCATTACTACGATTACTACTACTGCTACTACTGCTACTACCACTGCTACTACTACGACTATGACTAAGACAACTGTTAGTATTACGACACTGCTATCACGACCACTACGACTGCTAATACTATTACTACTTTTGCTGCGACTACTAGCAGTAATATAACCACTACTACTACTACTACTACTACTACTACTATTACTACTACTACCACTACCACTACTACTACGGCTACTACTACTTCTACTACAGCCGCTACGTCCACTACTACTACTACTACTACTACTACTACTACTACTACTACTACTACTACTACTACTACTACTGCGGCTACTACTACTACTTCCATGAATACTAGTAGTATAGTTCGTACTACTACTACGGCTACTACTATTACTATGACGATTACTACGGCTACTACACATACGACTACTACTAGAACTGCTACTACTGATACTACGATTTCTGCGACTACTACAAGTACTACTATTATTACGACTACGATTACGACTGCTACGAATACGGCTACTACTACTACTACTACTACTACTACTACCCCTATTTCTACTACGACTATTGTTGCCGCGACTACGAGTACGAGAACGACGACGACGCGACTATTACGTGCGACTACGACTACTACGACTATTACTACTACTACTACTACCAGTTATTACGACTGCTACAACTACTATTACTACTCCTACGACTACCACTATTGATGTTGCTACGACTAATGCCTTGACTAACATTACTACTACTATTGTCACTGCTACTACTCCTACTACTGCGACCACGACTACGACTATCTCTAGTCCTAGTACTGCGTCTACGACTACGACTGCGACTGCTACTTATGATAATACAACTGCTACTAGTCTACAACGAGTCCTACGATTACTTCGATTACGGTTACTACTACTACTACTTGTAGTACTACCACTACTACTCTTACTACTACTACTACTACTACGACTACTACTACTACTTCTACTACTTCTACTACTACTACTACTACTACTACTACTACTACTACTACTACTACTACGACTACTACCACACCGATTATGATTACGACGACTACTACTACTACTACTACTACTACTACTGCTATCACTACTATTACGGCGACTACGACTACTACTACGACTACGACTACTACTACCACGGCTACGTTCACGACTACTACTACTACTACTACTACTACTACTACGACTACTACGACCGATGCTACTGATACCACGGCGATCTATTAACACTACTACGACTACTACCACTTTTGCTGCCACTACTACAATTACTACTACCACCACTAGTACCATTACTACGATTACTACTACTACTACTACTACTACTACTACTACTGCTAGAAATACTATTACTACGACGGCTACTATTATTACTACTCTTACTACTACTACTACTTCCAACTACTACATCGAATATGACGACTACTATTACGACTACTACTACTACTACTACTACGACTACTACGACTACTACTACTACTACTACTACTACTACTACTACTACTACCACGACTACCACTACAGCGACTACGTCTACTACCACAACGACCCTTATGTACAATTCTACTACTACTACTACTACTACTACTACTACTACTACTACTACTACTAGTACTACTACTATCTACTACTACGACTACTACTACAGCAGCCGCTACGTCTACTACCACTACGACCAGCACTCATTCTATTACTTCTACTGCACCTACTGCTACTACTACTATTTCTACTACGACTACTACTACTACTACTACTACTACGACTACTACGACTACTACTACTACTACTACTGTTACTACTTCTACTAATACTTCTACTACTACTACTACTACTACTACTACTAGTACTACTACTACTATTACTTCTACGAGGGACACACTTGACTCATGGACTGTTTTGGTTTGGGGTTTGGGGTTTGGGTTGGGGTTGGGTTTGATTTCAGCCGGAAGTTTTTTTAGTGGAATTCAATAAGAGCTCAAATGCAAAGACCTCCTAGGAATTTCATTGACATTCATTACATAAACAAGAACAATTTTAAAGAGGTCAATAAGAATCCAACCAGATGCCTTCCTAGCGAAATTCCTTCGGAATTCCGTGAATTCCTCGAACACTTATAGGAATCCAATAGGAAACCACAGGAACCGGCCGTAGGCGAAGCGTGCAATACACCAATCCCGATGAGGTTTCGCACGCTGCCCAGCCGAAGTAGCGGCCACAAATGCGCGGGGACTCCTGCTAAGCTCTCCTGTGCCTGCCCCGTGAAGCCTTGCGAGGCCCTGCAAGAGTCTGCTCAGTCCTGCTGACCCCTGCTGAGCTCTGGTAAACCCTGCTATAAGCGCTGCAGAGCCTTGGTAAGCCCTCCTACGCCCTGCTGGGCTCTGCTAGGCCCTGCTGGGCCCTGCTAGAGCCTGCAAGCCTCTGCTAAGTTTTACTCACCAGGGCGAAGCCCTGCTGGCCCTTGGCGCGTTGTGAATTGTGCGTTGTGTCTGGTGTGTTGTGTGTTGTCTTGTGCGCTGTGCGTGGCGTGTTGTGTTGGGTGGGTTGCGTGTTGTGTTGTGTGGTTGCGTGTTGTGTGTTGTTTGTGTTGTGTGTTGTGTTTGTGTGTCGTTTTGTGTTGTGTGTTGTGTGTTGTGCGTTCTGTGTGTTGCGTTTGTGTGTCGTTTGTCTGATTCGGAGCTCTCCGAAGCCGATCGGACGTTCTCAGAAGCCTTTCGGGGGCTCTCGGGAGCTTTTCGGGGACTACCGGAAGTCTTTCGGACGCTCTTAGAAGGGGTTCCGGGAAATTTCAGAAGCCCTTCGGACGCTCTCAGAAGACTTTCGGGGAATCGCAGAGGCCTCACGGGAGCTCCCAGAGATCTCTCGGAGATCTCTCGGGACGCTTCAGATACTTTTTCGGAAGCTCACCCTTTCGGTAGCTTTCAGGCCCGCTCGAGAGCTCCCAAGGCCTTTCGGTAATTTGCAGAGACTTCTGGGAAACTTTTAGAGGCTTGTCGGGGTGTTTCAACAACCCTTCGGGAGCTTTGAGAAACCTCTTCTGGAATTCTCAAGGCCTCTCGGAGGCTCGCAGAGGCTTCTCGGAAACTTTCAGTGGCTTTGCGGCAGCCCTCAGAAGCCGTTCGGAACCGTGTAGAACTCGTTCGGAGGCCCTCACAAATTTCCAAAGGCCCTTCGGAAGCTCCCAGAACTCTGTACG